CCCCAAAACCCCAAAACCCCAAAACCCCAAAACCCCAGGATAATATATTTTAATTGAATTGAAATGGCTGAAGAAATAGGATCGCATGATTTTAAAAACCTCAAGCTCGCATATAGAATTTATCGAGTCACAAGTCAAGACCAGAACTATCCAGTAACAGAACTACTTATCTCAGATGTTAGTCAAACACGAGGATGGAGAAGTCAACGGTTTTGAGACTATCCCCAAGAACTCATCTTGGAATTCCCTTGAAAAATAACTTTGAATAAAGTAAACTTCTTGTTCCACAGTTCCAAAATTCCATCTGAAATAGAATGATACAGCTTATCAAATCTCCGAGAACTAAATCCAACGAACGAAGTAAGTAATTTCCTCAAAATTCCACTCAAACAAACTATTTTCTCTATCTACAAAAGCCCATCCCCTCTTACACCCTCTGACCACCTCTCCATCTCTATTAAAGACCTTACCAATACAAAATACACCTCCTAAATTGAACTAGTACTTAAAATCTCCCCAAAATCCTCTCAAAACAATACATTTCCTTCCTAAAACCCTAAAATATTTTGCCAAAGATCCTAAATTTTAGACTTTTGCTGTACAAAATAAGAAATTTTAGCTTTAAGGATAAAGAAACGGGCGATGTCAAGACCACCGATGCTCCAGGAATAGGTAAGGATTAGGACAATCAGCTGTAGAAGAAGAAGATAAGAAAAGAAAGGAGGATGAAGAGAGTGAGAAGGAGGGAAAAGAAGAAGTTGTGCAAGAGAAGGACCAGAAGAGTAAATATTTCATGAGATTACCAATTTTTGTAGAGAAAGACAGCTCTGGAGTTAAGATTGAAGAAAATCAAGGAGAAATTCAGACAAAAGAAACTGACTTACAACCTGATTCAGAACCTGCCAAACCTGAAGAAGGACCAAAGTTTTGGTTCTTTTAAATGAAGTACTAATGAAGATACCAATTTTACAGAACAAGAAGAAAAGAGCATAGAAATTTCAAAAGAGTGCCGATATTTCCTCATAAAAATAATGAGATGTCACAACAACAAGCTTAACCTGTTCAACCAGATTAGTATCATGAACATATCATGTTTCGGGGATGTCTCTGGCTACGAAGAGAAGTACCTTAAAGGGCTCATAAATATAAACCCTTCTGAAGCAATCTTAATGAACAGGACTTTGAAAGCAATGAGAGGGCAACAGTTTGATAATGAAAATGACGCATACAAGAGCATTCTCAGCTTCAAGAAAGAAGTGCCAAAATTTAAGGACAAAAATATCCAGCTCTTTGACAGCAAAATAGCCTCTCTCAACTGGGCGAAAGAAAAGGCTGCTGAAAATGAAGATTACCAAGAAGCTGAAAAATTAAAACAAGTGATTAATAAAATTGAGAAATTAAAATCTCACATCAGATCTCTGGAAGCCAAAAAGAATGCTTACGCTATGGAGGAGAACTATGAGAAGGCTAAGAAGACCAAGACTGAGATAAATAGAGTAGTCAATGTGGTAATGAACATCAACAGTAGGGGGTACAAACTTGACCAAACTCCTAATACCTATAAAATACAGCCTAAACGAATGTTCGAAAGGCACCAGAATGCTCTAAATTATAGTGTATACGATGAAACTTATTCGAAGGCCAGTATCTTTGGTGACAAAATGGGGGCTTTAAATATCAACCAAAGTGCAGCTAATTATAATGAGAGTCTCCCTCAGAACAACTTAAATATCACTGAGAATGAGATCATGCAAAGCAACCAGCAACGGTCAGTCAAAAATCTTAAATCCGTCTTGGGTCCTAAGAGAATGGGAATTTTGAAATATAATTCGAACTCTCACAGTTCTGGAAATGGTGGCTATCTTTCCGAAACAGAGCATTCTCACATGATTACCTCTATTAGTGATGTCAACTCTTCAATGAACCATGAGAGGTTTGGGATTCCAAAGAAGCAGCTAAGAGTTGTCGATCCTAAAGATGAGCCTGATAGCTTGAACCAAAATAAGAGCGATTTCCTCCCTCAAATTGACTTTAAAGCTGAAAGTGCGAAGGCTCAGAGTCCTTTTATTCAGAAAAATTCTGATAACAGAGTAGTACCAGGTGCCCTCATGAGAAGACCCATTGATTTTAGTAAAGTAATGGAGGAGATCAATGAGCAAGGAGATTCTAAACCTATAATTGTTGATGAAATTGACCCTTCAGAGATCCATAGAGCAGAGCCATACAACGAATACTTCGACAAAGATACTGTCAAACTCTTATTTTCAAAGAAGTGGCAAAACAAAGAAGAAGGATTCAAGAGAATCACTAAAGAATTCAAAGACTTAGTTAAGCAGGATACTGAGTCAGGAGATTCTGGAGGCCAAGCCTCAAGCTTCAAGGGTAAAAAGAAGGAATGAATGGATCTGATAATAAACTGTATTGAGAGAGGAATTAATGAGAAAATCCTCCATGTTAGGCTCCAAGCTTTGGATTTCTTAAAAACTTTCCTCGAAGAATGACCTGTAAGCCCAATGGATCTCCAGAACTTTGAAAATGTAGTCGGTTTCTGAGTAGAAGGCCTTTCAGAAAATAATTTAAAACTTAAAGAAAAGTTTGAAGGCTCCCTCAAAGCCTCTCTTTCCTCAAAAAGTAGCAATTATTATGACATTTTGACATTAATTTTAAACAAATTACCAATCAAGAATAAAGCTCAGCAGAAGCATAAATCCTCTCAGTTAAAATTTGTGGTAAAGGCTCTAGAAAATATCACGCCTGAAGAGAACTCTGAGGAGTCTAAAGAGGCCCAGTCGAAGGAGGATGCATTTTTCACTCAACTTCTTGACTTCACCACTTCATACATTTATAAAGAAAAGGTTTTCGGAAAGGATGGAAAAGAAGGTATCGAGAAAGCCTTTGTCCAAATTTACAAAAGGAAGAATTATGACTTCATCAAGGAGCAACTTGAGGCTCTTGACTCTTCCTCATTGCATAGTCTGGCAAGACACATCCCTGAACTAAAAGCTTCAATTGATGAAAAAGAAGAAGCTGAAAGGAAAAGGAAAGAACAACTTGTGATTGTAAGCCCTTTCTGTAATAATCTAGGATACAAATAAAAGGCTAGCTTTGTTAAAATAACGAACGATTGAAGCGCATTAAGAATAGTTTAAGCAACAAACCAGTCACAGCATATACAAGCGATAGAAAATCAAGGGAAGATACTCCAAAGAAGGAGCTTCGGGGAGGCTCAAATATCTCTCGGAAGCTCAGCATAGGGGCAAGGTATTGGTTTCATATAGACTTACTTATAGTAATGAAAAAGACAAAGAAGCAGAAAAGGCTGAGAAGTTAGAAAAATCTAAGAAAAAATCGAAAAAGTCACACACAAAGACCAGCATGGAGCTAAACAAATCGATTGAGGCAAAGGCATCCAAGCGAAACCCCTCCAGGAATGAAAGCAGAAATGTTACTCCATTTGGATCCAAAAAGGACCCTTCTAACAACTCAAAAGCCAAACTGACGATGTCCACTAGTCGTAAGATAAAATAAATCGAGCAAGAGTCGTAAAGATCTATCTCACGAAGACAATCTAAAATCCATTAATGACGCTTACCTCTCCAAAGTACCCTGGAAGGGCAAAATAAAATGCACCGATTGTGGCGAAAAAGGCTTCAAAGACCTCCGTTCCCTCACAAAACACCACCACAAATCCTGTAAAGCCTACAAAAAATGCGATCGCTGAGACAAACTCCTAAAAAACTCCGACTACAGCCTCCACCAATCCCGAAAATGCAAGAACAAATTGACCCTCAAGACCGAAATCACCACTAAAACCCAAGAAGACCCACCCAAATAAAATAAATTTTAAGTTGTTCTATATCCCGACCACTGTCTGGGGTTTTGGGGTTTTGGGGTTTTGGGG